ATGTAACACTTTGGAGAGGTTTTTGACAGCAGATTTCCCCAATGTATTATGTTTTTGTGGTTTTGTTATTTTTTTAAAAAGTTTCTTATGGCCCATTCATTACTGCCATGGAATAGGAAAACTTTACATATGTTTCCAGTGCACTTTTAAAAAATTTTATTTTTATTTTATTATTTTTGCGTGTGTGTACCATTAAATCGGATCTGACTGGTACAGGAGGAGATTGTCCCTCCTTCCCCGGCAGAGCATCTGGTGGATTCGAACCGTGCACCTCTGGGATTGCAGTGCAGCTTCTTGCCACTAGGACACCAGAGCTCCCCTCCAGTGCATTTTTGAGACGTTTTTAAGAATATCTATTTTTTTATTTAATATTGATTTGCATAAAAAATTGTATACATAGTTTCATTCATATACATTGTGTTCCACACATCCCTTAATTCACATTGGATCACCATTGATCTATGCCCACTATCACTCATACCTTCAGGTCCCCCTGAATCTTGCCTAATTCTGTCACCCTCTCCTTCCACCCACCAAATTCCGTGATGCTGTGATTTCCCTCCACCCTCACCCTCAGCACTCCTGTCCTCTTCCTGTCCCCCTTTTGGACTTTTAATACACATCTTACTAGTTATCCTTCTATTTTTATAATAATGGTCTTATGCATTACTTGTCCTTATGAGACTGAGTTAGTTCACTTAGCATAATGGTCTCTTTTGTTATTGTGTGCTGTTAAGCCACTTGCAACTCATAGTGATTCTATGAACAATTGCTCTGAACCCGGCTCTACCCTGAGCCAACCTCATTGCCTCTGACACACATACCCCTATTACCTTAGTCACTGAGTCAATCCATTTCATCCAGGGTCTTTCTGTCCTGTGCTGTCCCTCCATCCTTCCAAGCATGATGTCACTCTCCAAGGACTGGTCCCTCCTTGCAACATGCCCAAAGTATGTCAGCAAAGCTTTTTTTAAAAAAAAATTATTTATTTATTTATTCTTTTTATGTGTGTACCGTCAAATTGGATCTGACTGATACAGGAGGTGATTGTTCCTCCTTCTTCAGCAGAGCATCTGGTGGATTTGAACCACGCACCTCTGGGATTGCAGCGCAGTTTCCTGCCACTAGGCCATCAGCAAAGCTTTAAAATCCTTGTCTCCAAGGAGCATCTTGGTTCCACCCTCTCTAGGATGAACCTGTTTGTTCTCCTACCAGTATATTCAATACTCTTCTCCAGCACAACTCAAAGGCATCAATTCTTCTTCTATCATCCTCAGTCACTGTCCAGCTCTACTGCATAGCAAGTAGTTGTGAAGACCACGGACTGGATCAGGCATACCTTAGACTGATGCTGTTGCTCTTCAGTACTCTGGAGAGGTCCCTGGCAGCAGATTTTCCCAATGCAAAGAATAGTCTCTAGCCTCTCCTATTTTATATAGTATTTTTCAAAATCGTAGCCCCTGAGTGTACTATGTCTTTTGATTTCTTGACTGCTGCTATCAAGGGTGTAGATGGTATTTTCAATTGTTTCCTATACATCTGAAAGTTGGACAGCGAATAAAGAAAACTGAAGAATTGATGCCTCTGAATTGTTGGCAGAGTACTAAATATACCATTTACTTTTTACCAAAAGTAAAACCCAGTCTGTCTTGGGGGAAGTGCAATTGGGGTGTGTCTTAGAGGCAATAATGATGAAACTTTCTCACATAATTTGCAGTCAGTAAGGGTCCGTTCTTGGAAAAAAGACATCATGCTGAGGAACGTAGATGGTCCACAAGAGAGGAATGAGATGGATTGACAATCCTCTATGAGATGGATTGACACAGTGACTGCAGTCATAGGATGGAGCATATATGACATTGTAAAGATGGTGCAGGATAGGGAAAGATTCATATCTGTTGTTCATAAGGTCGTTCTGAGTCATAGTCATCTCTATGACACCTAACAAGGATATTTTCTTAAGGGTAGGTCTCCTTAGGGTGTGGCCTACATGGTGTTTGTTTGAACTCTGGCAAAAAAGCTAGAGAACTATCAGATCTACATTTAGTGATAATGGCTCATACACTTAAACGCTTGCTGACTTTGCACTCATCAGTATCCAAAGGCAGTGTCTGGAATTCTGCTTTCCAACATGGACCTTTGGATGCATGAACCTCTAAAGCTAGTAGCTTCCAAAGATAACAGCCTTAGAATCTGTCTTCCCAGACATTTCCATCTTGAGGTCTGACCTATAGACTATTTCCTTGAAATAAGTCTCTCTCTATATATGTGCTTTACAAATATGCTCCACCCCTCCTTTTTCTTATTGTGTACCATCTAATCAGATCTGACTGGCAAAGATCACCCCTCCTTCTCCAGTGGAGCATCTGGTGGATTCAAACCACGTGCCTTCGGGATTGCCACTAGGCCACCCAGAGCTCCCTACAAATAGGATTTTAATCCTGTCTTATTAGTATCAGTACTTAGATATATGTATTATCACAATGACTACAACCATGGACTTTAGCATAGTGGAGAGGGTGAGGATGGTACAAGATAGACCAAGGACCCAATCAAGGGTTATGAGTCACTCAGTGGCACCTAACAACATATCTCATTGTTGTTGAGTTATAACTGACCCATAGCTGACTCTGTTGGGTTTACAAGACTGTAAATTGCACAGGAGACTGCTCATCTTTCTCCTGTGGAGTTGCAGGTGTATTTGAACTATTAGAGAAGTGTTGCCTTTGAGTTAACAGCATGTCTTATGAACAAGGCCACCAGAATGTTTCTTTCTCTCCCCAGCCACTCCTACAGTCCACATTGTCTGCCAAATGGTATCCTTACACATTTCCTTATCAGTTTCTAAAGTGAACCTGAAAGACAATCTTATTTGTACCTTCAAAGGCGTTTTTCATGCCAGAGCCCTTGTTGTTAAGTGCTGTTGAATAGGATGTGATACATACAACAAACCACCACCTTATCTTGTTCCATCCTCACGATCTGTTGTGCGTAAACCCATTGTTGCAACCACTGTGCTAATCCATTTGAGGGTCTTTTTTGCTGATCCTCTACATTACCAAGCATGTTGTTGTCTTTTATATAGGGCCTGGCACCTCCCGATAATATGCCCAAAATGTGAGGTTTCACTTTTCTTGCTTTTAACGAACATTCTGAATGCAAGTCTTCCAAAACTAGCTTTATATTTTTAGAAGTTACTTAAATTCTATTCAATTTCTTTAAACATAAAATGGCATTAAGAATCATCACTTACTAATTAATATTCATTAGGTGTTAGTTGAAATATTTTTGTGCCATCGAGTCTGAACCAACTTCAGCAAGTTTTCAGAGGAAGTTTAAATCACACAGGAGATTGCCCATCTTTTTCCTATAGAGAAGCTAGTAACTTGAACCTTGTGACTTTGGGTTGGCAGGGCAGCTCCTTATCACTAGGCCACGAGAGCTCCCTAAACTGTCTTTGGTGATAGTTAATGATAGTCCCCGATAGGAAGTTAATGACAGATAATCACCTAAATTTTTTTAAGTTGCTTTCCTCTAGGCCTCTTAAGTGTGTTTTCTCCAAAAACTACACTTCCTGGCCTACATGTGGTTAAGGGATTTGATCAGTACAGTCAAAAGGACAATGCAAACCAATAAAAAATATGTAAAAAGGGGGGAGAGGACAGGAGACTCTGCCAAAGTTAAAAGTACATCAAACACACCTAGCATTTATTATTTTAATCACAAACCTACAGACCCCTCATTACACCCTCTTGAGACCTAGCCCAAGCAATCCAGAGTTGACAATCTTGGGTGTGTATGGTAGGAAGGGCAAGAAAGGAGTGTTTCTTGATAACTCTGATAGGGAGACTCCCTAAACAGAGAATTGGTAGGGGCCAGAAGTTGGGGGTGACCTAGCTTCTGAGTAAGAGGGGTAAGTCAATAAAAAAATCAGATAAACAAGTAGGAATTCAATAAATTGTTCACAACCCTCTCTCCAAGCCTGTTTTGGAGGAGTTATAGCCTCTAATTTTCTCTGGGCTAGGGAACTACCAAGATAGTCTGTCTTTTCCCTCATACTGTTCCTCCACCTTCTGAAACAGGGTAGTAGGGTACTATTTCTGGGAACATGGCTTCATTCCTCCTAATCTCTATAATTTTTTTAAAAAAAATGTCCCTCAAGAAAGGAAGCAGGACTGTGCCAAAAGGTCACGGTGTAATTCTAATTTCCAATCTAGACTTAGAATGTCAGTTCACAAGATTTCAGTATCAGCTCCCTTCCCTGAGGTTAGATTGGGTTGATTCCAGGTTAAAGAAAGGGAGCTCGAGTACTACTCCTTCCTCAGTTGTAGAATTCTTGGGTGGGATATTGTTGAGAAACAAGGGTAGAGCTGTGACCTGGGGAGGTTTGATCTTACTGATTCCCTCCATATCTGAAATACCTGTGCTGGGCTATTCCTATAGAGAAGGAATGGGGCCTGACTTCAATTCCTGAAGGTCAGGACTGAGTTCCAAGGGAAAGGGTTTAGAGTTTCATCCTTCTTCCCTTGCCCAAGAAGGGTGAGGTTCATGCAAAAGGGGCAGATCCCAAGGATGGGACCGCCAACAGTTTTTACTCTTCTTCCTTGCATGAATGGACTAAAGTGGTGGTTCTAAGAGAAGGATGGAGCAGCATCCTGACATCTCCTTTTCTCAGGCAGCCTGGTGAGGATTGATGATAGGGAACTCATCCTGCCTCTTTCTCTTATCTGGGCAAAGGCAGGTCACATAGGGCAGGAGTGAGACTCTGATCTCCAAGTGGCGGGGTTTAATTTCACAACATCATCCTGAAGTCTGAAAGACCTGTGCTGGGTTATTCTATTGGGGAAAGGATAGGGTCTCATCTAACTCCTTTTGTTTGCCTGATTATCTCCCCTCAGAATACTTGGGTAAGATAGTCTCATGAGGGGAAAGGTAGGACCTCATTCTGACTTGCCCTCCTTTCCTGAGTGAGGAAACACCAGGGAAGGGATGAGATCTGATCATGACTCCTCCTCTATGCTGAAGCTGCTACTACGGCTGCTGGCTTTGGAGACAGCTGGGGACACTGAGGAGAGTAGGGGGTCAGAGGCAGCTCGCAGTGGGGACAGGGTGCCCCCTGACAGCCCTCCCACCACATTCTCTTCCTCTTCCATCAGAATGTCTTCCAGCCCCAGGTGAAAGGGGTCCCCCAAGTCCCCTAAATGGTCACTGGGAAAGTGTAGGTCCAGAAGAGCATCTGAAGGTGGTGCTGAGGACTGTTGATGAGAAGCATTTGGAGCAGATGCTCCTCCTATGTGAAATGTGCTTGCCCTGCCCTCTTCCTCAACGTCCAGCTGCTCTGGCTTGAGACTATCAGAAGCTGAAGCTGTGGCCAGAGAGAGCAGTCCTGGGGTGGGAAGTACCGGCAGACCATGGATTTGGGCTTGCAGTTCTAGTTCCTGCAAAGAATAAGGGATAAGTACAATATAAGATGAGATTTAAAGTCCCTTAGAGATATAATTGAAGGAGAAAGATGTGGGATTACTGCCTCTGAAAACCCACTGGAGGATCAGTTATGTATCGGTTCTGACTCAATGGTACATAATGACAAGAGGTATAATGGTTAAAAGGGCAGGCTTCCTGAGTTCAAATTCAGTCTGTCTCCCACTAGTGTTATAAAGTTAGGCCACTCACTTTAAGATCTATTAGTGAAATGGGTAGAACAATGTAGCTTCTATCATAGAGTAGTTGTAAAGATTAAATTATCTATCTTATTGCTACCTAGTCAAAAACAACTCATAGCTGACCCGCCAGTGGATTTCTGAGGTTGTAAATGGCACAGGAGGAAATTGCTCATCTTTTTCCTAAGGAGCTACTGGTGGATTCAAACTGCAGCTCCCTAAGGGTTAGGCCATCATAGCCCTCTAAAGATATATTATTTTTGTTGGTGGTGTGTGTACTGTTGAGTCAGATCTGACTGGCACAAGAGGAGATTACCCCCCCCTTCTCCAGCGGAGCATCTGGTGGATTCGAACCGTGCACCTTTGGGATTGCAGCGCAGCTTAAGATAAATTTTTTAAAAAACTTCAAACACATTGCTATGGAGTAGAAACAGTTGAATAGCTAACCCTAAACTGCTCGAGAAGAGATTGTCCATCTTTCTCCCTCACAGCCAACAGCAGATTTGAACTACCAGAGAAGGAACACTTTTGGTTTAATAGCTCTATGGACTATGTCACCAGAGCTCCCTAAGGATTAAATTAGCTAGTGCAGTGTTAGCTTAAAGTTGGCTTTTTTAGCCATTACCTTAGACACCTCTGATTTCCAGCTACCTTAACTGCAGACACATGGTCTTGCAAATGAACAGCTGTGAGATTAGAATAAGAATGACAGTACTTCCCATACTCAGCAGCAAGACTTGAGGGAGACCAGCACAAGAACCTGGTGATGGTGGTAGAGAGATTGTGGCATTGCTGTGGAGAAACTGGCAAAGTGTAACCAGAGGAGCCCTGAGATAAAGACCACAGTTAAAAGTTTTGCTATTCTTGCTGGATGATGAAAGGAAAAGCTGAACTGAAACCAGAGCCTGGACTAATTGTGAATCTGTGCCTTTGAACTGCTGAGCTAAAACTTGGACTTACATTGGGTGATATTCTTTGCCTCCTTCACTCTCCAACTTATTTCCCTAATAAACCCCACTCTTGGTACCATAGTCTATGAGTCAACAATGAATAAATGAACCTCTTACTGCTGGCATGGCTCTAGAGGGACCATGGGGCTGGTCTACAGGCTTTTTATCTGCTTTCTGCTCTGGGGCAGTGAGGAACTGTGCTATTCTCATTCCCTCTGGCCCTTTCAGAGAGACACTCACAGCTCTGTGCCCCCATATCCTGTTTTCTGTTCCTTTTGCACTAATGTATAGAAATTTTTTATAGTACAAGGCACAAGATAAATGTTATATAAATTCGCTAATGTTCATTATTATTCTTGTTAACATTCTGAGTATGACATATCATCATTAGCAGCAGCAGCACTTGAGTTAGGAAGCCCAGGTATCCCACAAGTATGCAAAGAAGGGAAATTCAGGCTTGTTCATTCTCTACTTCTACCTATAGTATGTCCTCCTTCACTCACATCACCTTCTCCTCCCTCCAGACCTGAATTCGGAGCTGTAGGTTACGGTTGGCCTGTTCCAGGGAGCGCTGCCGGCTCTCCAAGTCTTTGGAACGCTGTTGCTCCTTCTGCAATTTGCGGATATAATCCACAGAAGCCTTCAGGATGGTGCCCTTATTCCAGCGCATCTCCCTATAGAGCCAGAGAGGGAGAAAAAGAAGAGAGTTGTATATGAAGTTTCTGAAGAGCTGAGTAGGAATTGCACCAGGTACATAATAAGTCCATCACTACACACCCAGAGCTTGGGGTAGGGGTACATCAAAGGTATGGCATGATTAGGAAAATGATTGAATGGGAAAAAAACCCATAATATAAATGAATGAAATATAATGTAAATGAATGACTGTATAAAACATGGTGTACATGCATGAAACACAATGCAAATGAATAAAAATATTAATAATAAAATAGAAACAGAAAACTAGCTAAGGGTCAGTATAGCTTTCTAAAGAACCCTTCTGGCAGTTTAATTACATTGACAACTGATAGACAGGCTTGGAAGATTGGAAGAAAAGAGAATGATCTGAATTACTGTAAATATAACAATGCATGATATAATACAAACTAATTATTAACAAAGGGAGAAAAAAAAAGGTATGGAATGATCAGATAAAAACAACCTGCCTGAGAGAACTGTTTAAAAGGAATATATGATGAGGTATTATTTTCATGACAAAAGTCCAAAATAAGAGCTGCATAAGTAAAGTGGACTGAGGAAGGCGGGGATTGTATAACAATGAAAGAATTTTTTTTCTTTTCAAAGAGAAAAGCAAAGTATGGGGGAGGGGTGGGCAGAGAGGAAAATGTGCAACAATGAGTGAATGGAAATCCAAAGTTTCTGTAAACTTTCATTAAAATTTCAATTAAAAAAGAAGGGAAAAAAATCCCACAAAATAAAACTCCCTGCCTGGAACCTTCCAATGGTGCCAACCACATCTCAGACTCAAAAAGGCCCTTTTTGACCCAACTCCTTACTACTTACCTCTTATCAAACCAAAAACCAGGTGCTATTGAGTCAACTCTAAATCATGGTGATCTCATGTGTATCAAAGTAGAACTGAGCTCCATAAGGTTTTTAATGGCTAGTTTTTAAGAAGCAGAGGCAGTAAGCCTTTCTTCAAAGGTGCTTTTGGGTGGATTGCAAACCAGTAACATTTGAATAGCTGAGCACTTAAATAATTTATACTACCCAAGTATGTCATCTCTTACCTAACTCCCTCTAATTCATTTCCTGACAACCACACTAGTTTCTCTATGTTCCTTTAAAATGAGAAACTATTCTTATTTCAGGGTTTCTGTTTTAGGTGTGTTTTTTTTAAATTTTATACTGGTTTATTTAGGGGTTTCTGTTCTGGCTATTTTCTCTACCTTGAACACTATACATATGGCAACGTGCCTCATCTCCTTAGGCTCTTTGCTAAAATGTTTCCATGTCATTTGAGGCCTGCACTGTCCCACTTGCCTCATCTAAAATTGTCACCCTCTTATTATGGACTTATTATCCTCAAAAGGATAAGCTGAAATCCTAATCTCATACCTATAAACCTGAACATATATGTAAAGAGGATCTTTGACAATATCAATTATGTGAACATTGCCTCTTTGCTTTTACAGGTGAGAATTACACCCCTGCTAGCTCACAGAACCAGGGCTAGTCCCTGCAGAGATAAACCCACCTCCCTTGGATGGGGAAACAAACACCTAGTACCTATCCTCCACTCTCCAAGAGCCATACTGCCTAGGGAAGTCATTGGAGAGGGACATCATGCTTGGAATGGTGGTGGGACAGTGCAGGAGAGGAAGACCCAGGATGAGATGGACTGACTCAGTGACTGGAGAAATGGGATTAGATCTGTTGGAGATGATGAGACTGGCTCAGGATAGGGAAAGTTTCAGAGCTAATGTACATAGTGTCACTATGAGTCACAGGAGACTTGATGGCACATAACAACAACATGTGAACATGAGGTCATATCAGAATAGGCTGGTTCCTACTTCAATATGTGTGACCCCTTATAAAAGAGATGACATAGCAGACAGAGGAACAATAGCCAGGTGAAGATGCATTTACACATCAAGGAAGGCCTCTGGCTACCAGAAGCTGAGGAAGACAAGGACTTTTAGAGGAAGCATAGTCTTCTGATAGCCTTAATTTTAACTATTAGTCTCCAGAAGGGAATGCTAGTGGGCTAGTACATAGAGAGTTGCACTTGTAACTCAAAAAGCTGCGCTTCTCTGACAGTTCAAATCCACCAGTGGCTCTGCCAGGAGAAAGACTGCCAATTTCCTCCCATGTGATTAAGCCCAACTGAGAGTTAGCTATGAGTCAATTTCAATTTGCCAGCAATGAGTTTGAGTTTTTGAGTCTCTAGAACTCTAGAGAGGCTGAGTCAGTAGGGAACTGGATTGCTAGCCCAAAGGCCAGGTCTCTTTGGTGGTTCAAATAAACTCCACAGGATAAAGATAAGCAATCTCCTCTTATGTGATTTACTGCCTTGGAAACCCAGTGGAGGGTCAACTTTAGTTGAGTCTCCAAAATTGGGAGAAAAAAATTTTTATTCTTATAAACTACCCAGTTTGTGTTAGTCTATTATGGCAACCTTAGGAAACCAATACAAATTTTGATACTGGTAGTAAGGTGCTGCTCTAACAGACATACAAATGTAGAAGTAGCTTTAGAATTGGGTAATGGCCAAAGGTTATAGAAGTTTTGAGGCACTTGATAGTAAAAGCCTTAGACTGCCATGAAAAGATTGTTGATAGAATTATGAACATTGAAGGTGATTTTGATGAAGGATCAGAATTGCGGAGAGTTGTAGAGAAAATTTCCATTGTCATGAGGAAAATGTTGCTAGAAATGTGCTACTGGTGAAGCTTCAAAGGAAATGATGAGTATGTAAATTGAGCACTGGAGAAAAGGCAATCCTTGTTATAAAGTGGCAGAGAACTTTGTTAAATTGTGTTTGAATTTTTTCTGAAAAAAATAGAACTTGAAATATGGAGAATTCTCAGTCTATCCATATTATAAAAATTAAGAAAACCATGTTATGAAAAAAACCACAAAGGGACAATCATATGCTAAAGAAATTATGCATGTGATTTATGGATCTAATCGATCATCTCAACCACTTTAGATTAAAGGAGACAAAATATACTTGTTGGAATTTGGAGATTCCATAGGCATAAAATGGGCCAATGAGGCTCCTTGACGATACACATCTGTTTTATAAACATCCTTTCAAGGAAAGGAAAGGAAAGGGTATTAACAGAAGCAGTTTGGTGGCTGGCAGAGGTTCCAGAGAAGTTGCAGCCTCTGTTCAGATGGGTTCAGAAAACAGAGGATTACTTTTAAGGCTTGCAATCTATTGAAATATGCCCTGTTGTGTTTTAAACTTGCTTTGGACATGTGACCCCTTCTTTCCCTTGAATTTTTCTTGTGTAGAAAGTAATGCTCATCCCATTTTTGTAAAAGTATTGCATTTTGGAAGCATATAGCTCAAGGAACTGAAGAACAAATTCAAACCTCGAGTTACTATAATCAAGGATGCTTTTGGCAGGATGTTAAATGATCCAGGAAGTATTAAAAGAAGATGGAAAGAATATACTGAGTCATTGTATCGAAAGGAATTGGCAGACACAGAAGAATTTCATGAAACAACATATGAGCAAGAGCCTATGATGATGAAAGAAGTTCAGGCTGCTTTGAAGGAAATGGCAAAAAATAAGGCTCCAGGAATAGATAGTATACCAATTGACATATTTAAGCTAACAGATGCTACCCTCGACGTGCTCACCAAGTTGTGCCAAGAAATCTGGAGAACTACCACTTGGCCAACTGACTGGAAGAGATCTATATTTGTTCCTATCCCAAAGAAAGGTGACCCAACAGAGTGTGGAAACTATAGAACAATCTCACTGATTT